GCCAGCTTTCTCCGCTTATCTCCAGAGCGTTGCTCTGGAGACGAGAGCACCATTTTCACCCCCCTTCCTCCATTCCAGTCCATCACACATATGACTGAATGGACACTAAGAAACCTACACTTCCATTGAACATAGAGAGTATTTCTGACCCTTCATTCATTTTTGAAAACAGTACAGATTCCTCCTTCCATTAACATCTGTTAACCATTCAATAGTTTCTGACAACATATATGATTGCTTAGTCTCCCCTTCTCCAACCAAGCAAACACTTATGTTCTCAGAAATTACTGGATTACTGATCACACATATTTGTATTCTTTCAGACCATAGTCCAAGTGTTTCTGATTGTCTCAAATATTTATTTTCCATTAAAATCAAAATCTAATCTCAAATGAGTTAAAAGTATCCATGTTTTTCTTTTATATGAAAACTCTTTCATCTTTCATATATGCATTTATTTTTCTGCCTATGTCATAACTTTTTATTAAACCAATACACACATTAATTTCCAAAGTAAATGTCTAGCTTCATTCTTCAGTTCAATTAAAGAAGCATTTCTATTTATAGACAAAACTATGCTATTGAACATTTCCCGATATTAGGATTAAGAAATAGGAGTTAGAAAAGAAGGTAAAAATCCAAAGCTGGGGTGTGCGGGAGGATTATATCCAGTGAACAATTTGGGCTTGACCAGAGGAAATAATCCTCCAAAGGAAAATTGGCACAAACTCAAATTGAGGTGGCTAATTTCTAAATAAAGCACACAAAGAACACAGCTAAACTTTTTTTTTTTTAAATGGAGGACTTGTTTTGCCAGCAACTCAGCAAAAACAATTATGAGATATTAGAAACCTGAATCAACATCTAAAGATTGGATCATTGGGTATCTATTGTTAACAGCAAAATTACAGACTAATTTAGCCTTCTGAAGTCTTCTTTAACCCTCTAGCAATGTTGGAACTAAAAGTACCAAAATTCCCAGCCAGCATAGCCTATACAAATCAACAATGTTTTCTACAATGTTAAAAATACTTTAAGTTTAAATATGTGTAAAACAAGAATGCAGCTGTAGAATATTTATCTCCTCATTTAAGGGCTTAATTAAACGTTCAGTGCTTTTGAAAATATAGGATTGTTTTATAGTGTTTTTCAACAAAATATTTTAAAAATACCTTCCTGGCTTGATATACCAATATCTGGGGGCTAGTGCTAGAAATGCACACCTAGCTCATTGCCATCATGGTAATGGGTATGGGCAGCAAGGCCCACATACTTGCCACTCAGTTGGCAGGTAGGCGAACAATGCAACTGGCCTCTTACCCTCAAATAAGCTTATACTAATAGCTAATGTAAAATCACAAAAACAACTTTATCATTGCTTGTACCAATTATGATAGCAGTATACTAATTTTCAGCTGTCAATGAATTCTAATACAGAATTGAATCTCTCACATTCTGACCAATTTAAGACACACCCACATATGATTGATTTAGTATTTGTGAAGCACTACACCAATCTTTCCTGGATTTGGAAGATCAGTAGTGTAGGGTTTGGTTACTATTTGAGTGGAAGATCACCAGGGAACATCTTGGCCATAAGCTAAACTGGGAAACTGAAAAACATTCTGGAAGAAGACAATGGCAGTCCACATCTATACTATTCTCAATAAATTGTATGGTTGTATCCATATAGCATCTTTATCTTTTGTGACAATCAGATTGTCACAAACAATCTGTTTGAAGATTGTTTTGACAATGTTT